ACTGATCCTGGTCTATTCTCTGCTGCCGGACTCTCTGATCAAGGCCCAGATCTTCCCAGGGCCTGCCTTGTGGCAAGCCACGGTGCCATCCACCCCTCCTGGGAGGTGACTGACTAGAACGAGGACGGTTTTGCGGGGCACCATGACCCCTGCCTCCCTCTTGGCTGTTTCCTGTGCCGCCAACCCCCTGATCGCCCTGCCCTCGGCCACTAGAGGCCCGACCCCCTTGGGCCCGACCTCCTCTTCCTTGCGGCCTCCCTCCAGTCGCGACAGCATCGTACCTCCTCCCCTGACTAACGCTACTATCCTCCTCCTCCAGGCCCCACCCTATCTGGTTGTAGGGGACCTGTTCCGTACCACCTTCGTCTAAAGTAAGGATCAAGTGATCCTTAGCCTTAACCTGGCCCGAGATGGTACGTCCTTTCCACTTTTTACCCTTATCAAGGTCCTTATGCCAGAAAGTGGAAGCCGCCAAGGACTGAGCCTTAAAAGCTACCACCTCCCTACTCAATGTATCGTAGGTGATGGCAGACTCTTTACTACTTTCGAAAAAGTGCCCTCGTAAGGGTTCAGGCATCGCACGATAGAATAACTGGACCAATTGGGCCTCAGTGACCCGATGTCCTGGGATGACAACTAACCTCCACTGTCGTGAGTGAATAGTTTGTAGCTTATCGGAGGCTTTAATGCCCCTAGTGACATCTGCGAATCGCTCGCGAAGTAACCCAAAGAACTCGCTTAGGGGGGGTGATTATGGAGTATGCCACCATATCGTTTTCACACTTGGCGGCCCGGGCAAGCAATCGGGCGAAGCTAGCGGCTTCGTCCTTAAGGGCAGGAAAGGCGATGAGGACTTGCTCCTCAGGGAGGATCTTCTGGAGGTGAACGTAAGACTTAACGTTCGCCTCCCAGTTATCAAAATTCTCTTCCTTCTTCCCACTGTAGGAATCAGGAAATTTAAACTTGACTGGTTCCCTACGTGGGCGAGTTTCCTCCTCTTTGGGAGCTGCTAACTTAACTCCCTCGATCGCGCCTTTGTAAATCTCTTCATATTTGTCAGTCGGTTCTGCATTTCAGTGCCCACGCGCATCATCATGTCATGCGCAAAATCTCTAAAGCCTACGCGCATGGACTGCACGGCTATATCGTGGCCCCTCAAATAATTCATTTGCTCTTGCTGGGCCCGGATTATCACTTCCAGGCTCTTGCCTATGATCTCCACTCTGTTCTGGAGATCCGCTTGCTTGGCCCAATGTGCATGCGGTTCCCTCGTGGCGGCCAACTCCTTCTCCAACTCTGTCGCCACCTCTATGCGCCTCCTTCTCTGTCTTCTAAGGCGCAACTTCCACTCCATCTTCTTCTCCTCCTCCAAGGCTTGACGCTGCAAAGGATCCTGTACTGCCTGGATCTCAGCAATTGCCGCGTCTCTCTCATCCTAGGGAATATACATCATTGCCTCTTCATCTTCTCCCAGGATAATTTAGCCACCCACTCACTCACCATCTTCTCCAACTTTTTCTCCCCTTCTTCCGTGCCACTTGACTCCCATTTCTCTGTCCCCCTTACATTCCTCAACAGGGGTATCTCCTCCTCCTCTTCTTCTTCTTCTACTTCCTTCAACTTTTCTTCCTCCTTTTTCTTTAATCTCTCCATCTCCTCCTCCAACTTCTTCTGTGCCGCCTGTTCCTCCAACAAGGCTTGCTTCTTCGGCTGCTTTAATATCTCTTTCTTCTCCTTTCTCTCTCTCAGCATGGCGGCGGCTTGCTCTTCCTGCTCTTTCGTGTATGGGGTGGTGTGCGTTCCACTACTCGTGTCAACCATGGTGACAGGTGCACAACTGAGTGACAGTTCCACTCCTCACCACTTAAACTTCCACCCCTAATTGACTTAACTTAGGATCTGTTGACTCTCTAAGGACCACAAGATCTTCCCCTTCGATCCAGCCAGGTTACCACTACCGACAGAAGCTTTCACCACCACTGTCCTTTACAATCCAGACCCAAAAGCCCTGCACCTGCGGTCAATCCCACCTGGCTTTCACTCCGGTTCAGGACCCTATCAACTAGGGTCTCTAGCCTAAACCTATTACTAAGTTGTCACTACAGGACTTCAGCGCTGATCAGGAGGCATTTAAGGAGATCCCCCATAACTCCTCAGGAATTCTTTAACGTCGCAAACAGGAGGACGCGATCAGCAAGCCCTCGCAGCTTGTTGAGCAGCCCACAACTCGGATTTTGGGCCTACCATGCCACACTGAGCAGCCCGCCGGTCTATACTGGTCCTTGGGAGGGTTTGTCCTTCGCGTCAGGCAGTCATCAGACACGGCCTTTAGCCCTATTCAGCCCGTGTGGGTTTGGTCAACAAAGCTCTACGACCTCATACATAGAGTTCCTATCACCTGGACAGAAGAGACTCAATGCAAAAAGAAGAGACAGACAGACTCGACAAGTACCATGGGGTAAGTGCACATCCATAGGGCGAGGGGATAGGCTGACGGCTTGGCGAGAATATACCAACTCCAACTTGGTCAATTTCATGGTCAACAACTCCGGTCAACGCCTTGGTCAACGCTGGTCAACGCTGGTCAACGCTGGTCAACGCTGGTCAACGCTGGTCAACACCTTGGTCAATGCCTCAGTCAACCTCCAGTCAACTGCCGGTCAATGCCGTAGTCAAAGATCAACTCGGCTATGGCTGCCGCCCCTTTTCTCTCTCACCAACCTCCAATATTCTCCTCCTCCCTCCTTCCTTCTTCCTCACTTTCTTCTTCCTTCAACCCGGCTATGTCTTCCTTCTCCTTCGTCGTCCCTCCTTCCTCTTCCTCGGCTATGGCTTCTCTCTCCTCTCTTCGTCACCAGGTCTTCTTTCTCCTTTGTTTACTCTGAATCTGAGCTCGGCGGTTATGGCCGCCACCTCCTGTCTTAGACCGCACAACCAGTCTTGTATTGCTCCTCTCTCTCTCTCTCTCTCTCTCTCTCTCTCTCTCTCTCTCTCTCTCTCTCTCTCTCTCTCTCTCTCTCTCTCTCTCTCTCTCTCTCTCTCTCTCTCTCTCTTTGCCGTCGCTGTCTTCCTTGCAGGTACGCGGCACCTCCTTCCGCAGTGCAGCTATGGCGGACTCTTCTTCTTCGGCGCAGTTCTGCTATGGCGCGTGGAATAGCGAGAACCAGCTCTGATACCAGGTGCAGCCGTGTGCAGACCCAGTAAACAATGCCTGTGGCCTACTGGGGCTGAGCCCCAGCCTCTGTGTCTAACTCCCAGGCTGGGCCTACCAGTTAGTTAAAGGGGCTGGAGCCTAAGCCCAGACTCAAATGACACCTGTCGGCCTTCACTTGGGGCCAGCAACATTTTCTCAGGCCCACCTTGTGGACCTCATTTCCAGCAGATCAAAAGGGTCGTGGAGGCATGAAGGGTCGTGATTCATTGGATTGTAATAATAATCGGGTTTTTAATATCATGTTCATCGTGTAACGTGTGTAATTGAACCCTTGTGTGATGAATTGTGAGCTTGCATGGTTTTTGCGAGGATATGGGTCCTCGGCAGGCCTAAGGGGCCCCCTGCAGCATATGTGCCCGCCCTAAGTGAAGGCGGCGCTAACAAATCACGAGAGGCCCTTGGCTGCCAATTTCGCATTTGGGGTCCAGGCAGTTTCTTCGCGCCAGTTGGTTGAAGGGAAACACACGCCGAGCAGCGTGGAAATTCCCAGGCCTTCTAGGCCTTTCTGAAAGCACAGGCCCTGGGCGAGATTCGCAGCCTCATACACAGACAGTTGGGAGGCCCAACCGAATGAGGCCCAGTAGCTGCACCAGAGGCGCAGCGTCCTGGGGCATACCGGAAGCTTCTGGGCCCAGGCCAGTCCAGCCAGGCTGCTGAATGAGGCAGGCTCTTTCCATATAGGAAAGAGCTCGCTGCCTGGCCAGCCATTCGGGCACTCGCATGCTGGCGGCAGCGCTGCTGGAGCTGAAGCTCGTGGGCTGTGCTAGCGCTGAGCGGCGAGGTGCAGGCACGTGCGGTCGTGCAGGGAGCAGGGCGCTGCTGAGGGCAGCGCCATAGCCCAGCCTCCATAGCTGGCAGGGCTTGGATGTACAGTGAGGCGCAGGGGTGGTCTTCGGGTGTACAACAAAGGGAGACGTGGGAGAGAGTCAAGGGGGGGAGAGAAGGATGATGATGATGATGATGTGAGGGCACATACCTGGTATTGGCGATGGTTCTGCATGGGCGACATCTTCAAGTACTTCGGGTGCTGCTGACGTCAACAGTTGCATTGTCAATTAGTAGGCTAGTAGTAGCTGTGTAGGGAGTAGGCTGGGCGCCGAGCGCCAAGTAGGGAGATAGAGACTGGATACATATGTTGGTGGTGGCGAGAGCAAGCTCTCATTGACATTGAATTTCAGTGCTACGATTCTCCATTGGTGTTCTATTGGTGCAATGCTGCTTCCTGAACATTGTGTTACAATTTGGCTTTCAATGTGATTGTGCAATCTTAATATTGTCATCTTGCTTCTGTTCATTTTCCTTGCATTTTGCAATCTGGTGTGGAATTAGTGCAACACAGACTCAGGACTTTGTCAGAAATTTGCAGGGTTCTCGGACTGCGACAGTGGGTCATTCCAGTCATCATTTTTTTATATCTTCTCCTTCCACTCATATTCGTCCTCTTCGCCTCCAAATCACAATCACTGCTATCAGTCATTCTCATTCCCCCCCCTCCATGGACCTAGCCCACTTTGAAAGTCGTTGGAAAGACCCACCTTTCCTGCTGGCAGTCCACAGCCTGTGGATAGCTGTGAGGAAACTGTCAGAGCCATCCTGTTGCCAACAAGGCCTTGGCTTTGGCCAGATGCAAGACTGTGACTTACCTTGTCTCGCGTACATTGTCCTGCTTGGGATAAATTACTGAAATGGCTCTCAATTGGTATGCACTACTATGAAGTACTTTCTCGTTATGCTAACCCATATGCTTTCTGGTCTTTCTGTTTGATCACCATGGCACCAACTGCAGTTATCAGAAGGGGTCGCTGAGCAAAGACGAGTAGAGATCGTAGAGTCTCAGACAAAAATTGCTGAACTGGAATTGAAGCTGTCAGAAGCAGAGATGCGTTTCCTGGAAGGCGAGCAGCTTCGCCGGAAGCTGCATAATACAATTCAGGTTTGCTATGGAATCCGAACTTCAAACCTGTCTTTGCCCGAATGTGATGATGTTTGACCTCACCCTGTACGCTGAGGTCATCCTCCAGGTGGGGATGTTGGCACCGTTAGCTCATATTCTCCCTCACGTGTCATGTTGATGTCATTCTATGCTGACGTTTCTACTCCATTATTGACGCGGATAACATGCCCTCTGCTTGGCTTCTTCTCTGCCTTTGCAGGAACTCAAAGGGAACATACGTGTTTTCTGCAGGGTGCGCCCACTCCTTCCGGAAGAGGAAGATTCAGACTTGCCCGTTATCCAATACCCCATGTCTGTTGAGCTGTTGGGGCGGGGCGTTGAGCTGCATGCAGAGAAAGGTGAGAGTGAGTTGTTGAAATCATTTGTTGTTGGCGGATGGAAGTTTTTTAATCTGATGGAACAGTCTGTCACAGCTCCCCATTTCTCCTTTTCTCCCTTTCTGCTTACGGTGCACGGGGCAGCTCTCTGAGGCTATATCTACAACAAACTCCTATAGCTAAGTAGGCCGCGGAGTGAATGCTGCGAGCCGATAATTTGAGGTTTCGACGAGTTGTGGCCTTCAGATTTTGAGATCAAGGGCCGGTATTGCCCCAAAAGGTGGTTTCTAACGAATTGTGTCCGGGCCTACCTGGTCGGCTTGTGGTTCGTTGTGGAGTTAGCTTTTGGGGCCAAAATACTGTGTTGTGGTCGTCGATCGATCGTTGTCGAACCGTGTGTGCTTGAGTGGCGGCATAGTTCAAGGCTGATTGTGTCAGAAGGCGTCGACGTTTTTGTTTTCTTTTGTGGTGTGGCCGTTTTCAGGGACTCGCATGCTAGCGGCAGTGCTGCTGGAGCAAATGCTCGTGGGCTGCTGCTGGCGCTGAGAGGCGAGTTGCAGCACGTGCGGTCGTGCAGGGAAGCAGGGCGCTGCTGAGGGCAGCGCCATAGCCCAGCCACCATAGCTGGTGGGCTTGGACTACAGTGAGGCGCATGAGTGGTCTTCGGGTGTAAGGGAGGAAGACGTGGGTGTAAAGTCAGGGAAGGGCGAAGGATGATGATGAAGATGATGTGAGGGCACATACCTTGTATTGGCGATGGTCTGCATTTGGGCGACATCTTCAAGTACTTCGGGTTGCCGCTGATGTCAACAGTTGCCTTGTCTATTTGTAGGCTGATCGTAGCTGTGTAGGAGTAGGCTAGGCGCTGAGCGCCAAGTAGGAGTGTGAAGGGACTGGACTCTTGTGTTGTGGCAGAGAGAGAAAGTTCTCCTTGACATTGGTTTTCAGTACTACGAACCTCCATTGGTGTATTATTGGTCCAATGCTGCTCTCTGGACACAGTGTGACTATCTGGCTTTCAATGTGATGGTGTAATCTGGAATTTGTCATCTCGCTGTTGCTTATTTTCCTTGCACAATGAAACCTTCTGAATTACCCGGGGCCGGTCATGTCACTGATGAATATCTCAAGGCCTTCACTCTTTTCGAACGGAAAAAGAAAATGGCGCCAGGCGCAGTTTGAGTCACGAATGTACACCGGGAAGGGGGGGAAAAAAAATTGTGAATGTGTCAGTAGGATTCGTTTTCGCCTGCGTCCGTTGTGTCTGTTTTTCCGCGTGGCCTCACCAGAGGCATATTCGTTGTGGTATGGGGCCTCGCTTCACTACCCTTCAAATGCTCAAAATGAGACTGAATCTTGCACTAGAACCTGGAAAGATACACTTCCATTTTTCTTGCCAACGCCAGCAGCGAAGGGCTCAGGTTTCATGTTTTTTTTTGCCAGCACAATGCACCCTGATTTTGGCTGTACCTAACCGGGAAGGTAGCTTACATACAGTTTGGTTATCAGGGTGCGTTATCTTCGGAAGAAGGAGAGGCGGTAAACGGAGACCCAAAATTTCAGCTTTTTTTTAATGCTATTTATAAGAAAACCAGAAGCCCTTTTTTAACCAAAAATTGCATCATTCCATAGAGTGCACACCATATTAACAAACCAATAAAGAAAAACACGAAAAAAAAAAACAAAAAAAAAAACAGGGTGAAACAGTAAGGCAAAAGTGCAGTTGAATGACATTTTGGATTCAGCGAATTTTCATAATTTTCAGCGTTTTTGGACATAGTCTCATCAGAGGAAATTCCAATGCTCCAAATGAGATGTGAGGATTGAGCCCTCAAGAAGGGGCCTTGCCATGATGTACATGTTCTGGGCTAAGGCCCCAGCAAGCCTAGTGCCCACCCTAAGTGAAGGGGGGCCAGCAAATCAACAAGAGCCCTCTGTGCAAACATTTCACGAAGTGGGGTCCATACAGTTGCAGCACGCCAGTTGGTTGGTGTGCACCGAGTATCGGAGCTCTGCAAATGCAGAAATCCCAGGGCCCCGAGTTGGTTAGGCCCTGGGCACATAAACGTGAGGCCGACAATGCATGCTGGATATAGAGGCCGAAAATGCCAAAGGGAAACCGGTCCACTATCTGAATCTGGCCGCAGGCCTTGACGAAAGAGGCRCAACTGCATCTCCTGGGCCCCCAACTGCATCGGGCCTGGGTACAGGCACTGGGGCCCAGGCACAGGCTCAAGGGAGGCCGCCCACACGCRACACTGGCATATAGGCAAGCAGGGCGAGTGGGCAGGGATCTTGGCCATTGCGARCAAGGCCGGSACGCTGCTGCGTTGCATGCATGCTGSGCTGCGCTAWGGCTGAGGGAAGCAGGACAGCGCTAGGYGGTAGGGCTGGCTGTGGGCGCAGGGCGCAGGCGGCCATAGCCSGGCTGCCTGTGTGCGCAGAGGGTGAAGGGCRAAGGTGGTTCTTCGGAGGTGAAGGGCGCTGTGTGGGAAGACAAGGGAGAGTGAGGGTGAAGAGAGAGGACGTACCTGGTGGAGAGGAGGTYGGCATTGGAGTTGACATCATCACTCGCTGGTCGTCAAGTTGTCTGGTTGCTTCATAGCTGTAGTTGTAGAGATAGGCTGTAGAGTAGATAGGGCGCCTGGCGCCATTCAAGAGAGAGAGCTACATTGGKTTATGCTGTTGGTGTTGYCCGATTGGGCTTGGACATTGACTCAYGATTCTTCTGTATCATTCTCAAATGGATGGTTACTCGATTCCATTGTGCTATCTGCTCTTGCTTTGACTACTTGGACTTCAGTGTGATTTTGCAAATCTGGATTTCTGTGCTTCGTCCACATTCATGTTCCTTGCAACTTGGTATTGGAGCTGGTTTGATTCGCCACTTACCTTGGTGCGCTGGCGTTATACAGACTTGGTGCGTTGACGATGCTTCTTCGCAGTTGGTTCTTGTGATGTCAGGCCATGTTAGGCGCACAGCCTGGGTAGAGAGGTGTGCGCCGGAAGGCTAAGATGACATTAAGCCGTGGTGACAGGCGGAATGTATGATTGGTGATGAGAGCATGCTGATGTGGCATTCGGCTGAGGTGGCACTGCATTGCGTTGTGGGTGGTATCGAGGCCAAGACCGGTCATCAAATGCACACCCAGCTCAATTGGTGAGAAATCTGTGGTTGGGGGCAGCTATCTCGAGGTACGTTGTTCCCTTACCTTATCTACTCTCTCAATCTCTTCTTATCGTGAGGAAGTGAGTCCAACTTGAGAGTCCTCTCTTTTGGTGAGGTGTCGTGAGCACACTACCTTGAGAGACGACAATCTTTCCGGAAGCATCTGGAAGGAGAAAGGGCGGTGCCTCTGAAGGGCCCTGATCGAAGCACTGGGTCACGGTCACCATGCCAACCCAATGGGAGTAGGTCACGCATGCGATGGCTGCTGTCCATTTTGGCACTTGCTGCGCTGAATAGAAGTCCTGCCGGGTGTGCCAGCCTTTTACGAGACGCTTACCAGACCGTCTATAAACATTTCTGGTTGGGGACTCGGATTGATTCTGGCTGTGATCGTCGTCCTGACTGCGACGTTAAATAATTCCTGAAGAGATGGGGGCGCTCTTAAAATTCCTCCTGATCAGCCAGATCAACCGGGTGTAAGGCTCGTTCCGTACGAGGGTAAATAAGAGTGGACTGGCTGGCTTGCTCGGTAACGACTTGGGCACAGGGGTGGGCCGACATTGCACACGAAGACACCGCTGCTCAATGATGCTGTTCGGTATGTTGGATTGAGGGGAGGGTAGGTTCTAATTGATGCTCAACTGAAAACACAACCATACCCACTGATCATACACCTGCAACATGGTCTTTTTGGATTCTTGATTAGTTGGTGGACAGACTGCTAACACCTCACAGACAGATTAGAGTAGGACTGTTGTATACTACCATAGCCAGTTCTATCTAATGCTGTTGTAAGTGAACCAATCAAGATACATCTAGACCATGTTGACAATCTGTTGTGAATGTTGTAGATTGCCATTTGATCGGTCAAGTAGGGGACCTGCCGGACACAACTATTTTTAGAAAATTAGGTGTCGGTCAGACACATGCTGTGGTAGGACTCCACTAGGGGGTTCTAGTTCAGATAATGTTTGCCTAATTGATGAACGGGTCAGACGTCGATGAGGGTAGAGTTGACGATGCGAGACGTACACGTTCGAGATCACATAGGATCCCGCACGTGTTTCAGGCCCTAGAACCGAGAGACGAAGGACAGCTTCGTGCCGAACGTAGAGCCCGTGCACTAGCAGCAGCTAGGGAAACAACAAACGCCGCAGCTAGGGAACAGGCTGCAGCAACAGCCAGGGAAGCAGCCATGACTAGTTCAGCAGCATCCTCTGCGTCCTTGTCTGGGACCAATGGGACCCAGTTGGGAATGCCCACAGGGTCCACGGGTACTTCCAGTTCATTAGGTTCTTGACAGTCTACAAGTCAAATGGCGGGCTCGCAGTTCAGCCCGCTAACCCCGCGCGAAAGGGAGCTTCTAGAGCTCCAACAGGTCGAAAGGATTCGTGAACGATTAGAGAGGGAACTGAAACAATCAACCGATAGAGAAAGAGAGATCAAAAATAGAACAGCCAGGCTTGAAACATTAGAGGCAGACAAAGCTGAGTTAGAGGGTTTGGATGAGTCAGGACTGTCTGACTCAATGAAAACATTGAAGAACAATATGTTGTCGCTGCATGCGCACGTGGACAGCCGATTGGACTTTATGCAAAGCACCCTAGACCAGATCTTGGACCTTTTACAAAGGCCAGGATTTAGGCCACCAGCACAGTCGCCGTTGCCGTTAACGGCGATGTCAGGCCCCTTTCCCGTACAAGCTGGCACACAACCAAGTGGCACGTCTGCAGCAGCCGCACAGACTGTTGCTTCTTCTTCTTCGGGTCCAGCGGTGGGAGCTACACCACCGCAACAACCTGTTCTTCAGCAAGGACAACCGCAAGGTCTATGGTACCCTAAGACCCCTATG